CTCTTTGCCACTGCCCAGAATTGTTCAATTGGGTTAAGTTCAGGAGAGTAAGTAGGAAGATAGACACATTTATATCCTCGATACTCAATATACTTCTTTATGTTTTCATGGGTGTGAATTGGTGCATTATCCATAACAATATGATAGCCTTTCATATGTGGGTGTTTGTCCATTTCATCGAGTGTCGTTTTTAAGAAACTGATATAGTGACCAGTAACAGTCCCTGAGCTTATGTATCCATCAGCTTTTCTCTTCTTCGCAGGTCTAGGTTTTTTTTATGCCGACGGTAATCAAGCCCGAGGCAGAAATAGCACCCAGTATAGATGTTGTATTTGCTCTTGTAATCGGCCTGGTAACAATAGCGCGAGTGCCTTTATTGGACCAGGCTCTTGAACGTTTCATATTTATATCAAAAGCAGACTCATCAAGAAACACGCAATTCGTCAGAAAGTTCATGTCTGTATTTTCCCATTTGCAAACCCAATTGTGCCTCTCTTCAATCTTTGCTGGACTGTTTCTCTCAATAGAATGAAATTCTGCTTTTTTCAACGAAAGGTTGCATTCACGTCTCATAAAGTTATTAACAGTGCTGCGTAGTACTTTTAGATCATGAAATTGCTTCAATAAATGCTCAGTTACTTCAATAACAGTAGCAGAGGGATTAGCATCAATGAAGTTGATAACAGTCGTTTTATGTTCTTTAGTTAAGATACACTTACGACCTACTTTTTTACAGCTACCAAAAATACCGTCAAGGCACGCATTGTACTGGCTCACCCATCTATAAGCTGTTCGAGGGTGAATGCCCAACTGCTTTGCTGCTACTGCTGCTGCAGTCATACACTTTTCAATCTTCAGATCGAAAAACCTAACTTTATCCTGAACTGTATAGCGCACATATTCTCGTTTTGGTTTTGCCTCCTTCATATGAACATCTTCATTTTTTGGCTTTTCCAACATCGGATAAGTCAGAGAAGACTCATTGGGGACTGCATTTCCCAAGTACTCTGTGTGAGTAGCAATAGTCTCAACAATAAATTAATTCTGATTAACAATGTAGTCCATGGGCTCAGGACCACCGTTCTCATCAACAACATTCCCATGTCCATCTTCATATAGAAATATCGTACTCATGTTGAATCGTAAAGTTTTGAAAAAGAAAAAAAAAAAAAAAAAAACAAAAGGAAAAGTGCACTCACTGTCTGTTTATATTTCTCAGGTGCCAAGAATCATGGTGCCTGATTTCTAAGCAGGCGCAAGTGACAACATTTCTAAAAATATGACATTGATTTTGATTGGCTAATGACACTATTTTTATTTGGCTAGTGACATTAATTTTGATTGGCTGTGACATTACTTCTTGGAAGCACTGTATAGAAAACTTTGTATCTTATTGTTTTTAATTTAAAACTCCGTATAAAAAAGCGTGGCTCAAAGAGCACCAACCACACCTTTCGTCTCCATTTCGGCAACTGTACGAACATTATTATTTTTCCAGTAATTGAATACATAATAGAAGCTTTTATAAGCAAAAGCATAAATAAAAAAAGGTCTACCAAAGGGGCAATTTGTAAATGATAAAGATGTAAATTGATACTGTGAAGAGCGCAAAAGCTTTTACAGCTAAGCGTAAAATATTTAAAAAAGCGTAAATTGGTATCGTGAGCACTGTACAAGGTGGGTTGCACACATCTAATATACCTCACAGATCTAAAATCGGTGAGCATTTTGTTCAAACTTACGGCTAAAACCATTTCCATATTTGTTGAAATACTCATTTAGCAGCTCCATAAACATGTATCAATCGTTTTTATCAACAAAATATACATGATATTCTGGAAATCTCTGCGTTTTCTGGGCGATTTCCAGGAACGGAACCTGAACTTGTCACCATGACATCTGTATTCTGTTACACACGCAGAGTTATTATGTCATATTTTCTAGATAAAGAAATTATCTTTTATTCTAAATAGGTGTAAGTGCAGCATGAAGGAAATATGCATATACAGGTATATATGAGTATATATAGAAAGAGAGAAAGAAAGAGTATGCATGTAAATTTATACAATAATAATTATAATAATGATGACAGCCGTAATAAAGAAAGACAGAGAGCGAGAGGGTATGTAACTAGGATTCTATACAATATATATATATATATATATATATGGTCGACGAAAGGAACGGTTGCTTAAATAAGGGGTGATGCATAGATATATAAACAAGGTTGTCTAGTTGTTGCTATTGCTTCCATTAGCATATCTACACCAAAATTCATGACTATATAAACAATAGATGTAAATAAAGAGAAAAACACGTAGTTGTATAAACTTACTTGAATTGGGATACATCCACACCACAGCTCGCACAAAAGGTCTGTGAGGCAAATAAGACAGGTAATGATGACTGCTTATTGTTGTTGTAATTGAAAATAGTCGAAAAGTTCATTCTTTACAAAAAAGTACAAGAAGCAGAAGGAAAAAGAAGACACCCCTTTTTATTTATTTTTTGTCCTCTTTATACTTTATATTCTAACGTCATTTTTATTAACCAGGAGATCACATTGTCATACATGGAGATTACAAATTAGGAAGTAACTACCAGAAGATGACGTTAGACGCAAGTAAACATTTGCTTCATGATTGCTCTATCTTTTTCCTCCCGTTGCTTATCCACTGCATCTGCTCCTCCTGTTCTTTTGAGTTTCTTTAATCCCACAAAGTTTGTCAATTCTCTTTCGAACGCATCAATGCTCTGTCCCAGTGCCTTGGTTCTCATTTTCTCCGCTTGATCTAAAGCCCGCAATCGACGATCATGGTCCACACGAATCGCCGACACCTCCTTCATCACGCTTGCCATCCCTTCAAACCCTTCTTCGGCAGGGGCCACTCTAAACTCCGGCACACTTGGCTGTTGCTTTGTTCGCTCATGTATTTCAGCAATCTTGGTAGCTTGTTCGAGTACATCAAGGATAGCACGATGGTCTTCTTTGAGATCAATCAAAAGGTTCTCTTGATCTTTAAGAAATTTTTGTTCCTTGACGATCGTCTGAAGTGTGGTCTCCCACGTCTTTTTCCATTGAGGCTTGTATGTTCTCAAACATGCCTCGAGGTCTTCCATTTCCTTCTCGAGTAGCTTAGATTCATCCAGACACTGCTGCAACCGGTTCTTGCTCGGTCGACATCGTTTCTGGGTAATATCATGCTTGAGTTGATCAACACTGTCCTGTAAGGCCTCTAATCGGCTGGTGACCAAGTAGGCAGCCGTCTGAGTAATCTCTTTACCTTCGTCTATCTCCGCCTTGACTGTTTCTGAAGGTGAGTCTTGTGCCTGGTTCTCTAACTTTTGTTTACAACTTTCGTACGCCTGACGAGTAGCATGTAGTTGTTGACGTAATGACTGCACTTCGTCTGACGTCGTTTGCTTATTCAACCATGTCTTCAACGCTTGTTCCGCAATCTTTTCCATTGCATTTTTCATTTCACCCAACAGAGGTTGATGATCCGACATATCTACACATAAGCATCAATAAAAAAAACTCTCTCTTTCTCTTTCCTTTTGCTTACCTTTCATCGACAAGATAGAGTAAGGCTTCACATCAGCCACGTTTTCCAGCTCATATTCAACATCCGAACAGGGATCCAGTATGTAGATGACCGATTCAGGCACCAGCATATTGTAATGACGTTCGAACAATTGCCTTAGGTTGGACAGGATAAGATCCTGAGATCGAATTGTTGCCTTCTTTATACGACTACCCTTTTTCAGATACAGTGGTAAGGCGGAATCTACCTTTTGTGTGTCCATTTAATCTCAAGCATCTTTATGTATAAAGAAGGGTTACCTTGTTTGTTATTAACGCACTTTGAGCTTTCTGCTAGACTGTCTTGAGAAGCCAGTCTGTTGACCACCTGCTTGGCGGAAGGATCTGTGAGGTCGATTTGCATAGGTGAAAGGACCTTGGGCTCACGACGTTCACGAAGGATAGCTTGTTTCTTTTTGATGCCATGAAGTAATTTGAGAATAGAATTCTTGATTGTAGGTAAATCCTGTTCAAGTGCTTCAGATGATGGTGGTTTAGACAGTGTGTTCTTTAGACAAGCATATAATTCGTTTGGTAAATGACACATGTCTCTTTTGAATAAAGATAAGAAAAAAAAAAGGAGATCAGTCACACACGCACACAAAGATTGATAGTCTATTCTAATTGATTTTTTACTCCATAGGTAATAACAGAAGTTCAAAGGTTCGTGATATATGGCTAAAGTGGGTATCTAGTGTTTGATAATCTTGATGAACTTGGTTGTCGGATAACTCTCCAAATGACCAAGCGGTTAATGATTCAAGTAGCTTTTTAGTTGCTTGAAGTAATTTAGATACATTCTGTTCAATCTCAGATGCCTAAAATAACAATTATCAATTACAAGTCAAAGAATATAATAAGCCTTACAGAAGAAGAAGGAGACATGATAAAGAACAAAAAGAAGAAAAAGAAGAAAGGAAATGATTCTTTCATTAAAAAAGCTTTTGAAAGGACAAAGAGAAAAGAGACCAAGGTGAGTTTAAAGGGTATTATTTAATACATTCCCATTCAGTTATTTTTTAAAATGGTAAACGTAGAACTTTGATAGATGACATCTTGGCAATGCTTGTAAGGTGGTTTGGAATCATTAGAGCAGAGATAGGTGATACTATGTATATTGTAAGCTAAAATAATAATAAAAAACCAACTTACTTTCCACCGACCATCAGGGTAAAAGTACCATTGGGTACATCTTTTGGAATTATCCAAGTGTTGGAGTAATTTCTATTATAGCCAATATTTTGATGGGCAGGAAATCCTTGGATAGTTTTATTATCATGGGTTAAAGTAGTAAATGTACCCCAAATCTTGGTCATTCCTACGTTTTTAACTTGTACAGGATGAGCATCATCTTTATTATTTTACTATTTAGAACTTACCATTGTATTCTATAGTCATCTTGTCGCCTGGGTGAAAAATACTTGAACTGTTGGGTTGAAGGATATCAATTTCATCTGCTCTTATAAGCATGACAAAGATAACTAAGCAAGTCAATAATGTAAAAATGGTCTTCATGATGGATAAAGAAAGAAAGAAAGAAAAAGAACATCAAAGACCCTTTTTATACCAAAAGGGACATAATAAGCGAGGATAATGAACTACTCTAACAAGTCAAGTAATGCCGTTTAATTAAGGGATTTCATTATTTCTGTAATTAACCTTTCATGACGATGTATGCGTGATTCAGTCACACAGCAATATTTATGCTACCAATTCATTTCCCGATTACACATGGACGCACCGACTTTCTTTTTTCTCTCTCTTCAATGTCGAGTTCGAGGCTATTTAAAAATGACTCTGAAGAAGAGTTGATGTTGAATCACTTATCTGAAGAAGACGAAGACTTGGAAGCACCTGCTTCACTTATACTAGAACGGCCAAAAAACGATAGACCAACGCTGTTATCAACTAGAGACCATGTATCAATAGAGGATAGGACAATGTGGAGATGGGCTAATGTCGAGAATATGGACTATTTCTTTCAAAGAGTATATGACTATTATCAAGGCAAAGGAATTTATTGTATTTTACTAGCAAGATTACTCAACCTATTGTAACCCGTTTTTTTTTTACAAGTTGACTATCACTCACCTTTGTCTATAGAACACTCTCCTTCATGATTGTATTTTCTACCTTTCTCGTTGGCTGCGTCAATTACTCAGAGATACCCACAAGTCATTCACTTGATCAAGTGATTGTCCCTCAATGCTTATCCAAGCTATCTACAACCAAGTTTTTATATTTAATCATGTTTGTCCTATGGTGGCTGTGGCAAGCGATCCGATTTGTTACAGATATACCTGCGCTCAAAGAGATGTACAATTTCTATACCATTCTGTTAAACATACCTGATGCAAGTATAAAGAACTTAAGTACGGGATTAGGTTTCTTATATGTTTCTAATAGGAGGATATGCAAACCGTCTCATGGCAAACAGTACTCGATCGAATCATTGATATCAGAGAGACCAATCCTAATACGTCAGAGCAATCACCCATACGGTTGACAGAACATGATGTGGCTAGTAGGATTATGAGAAAAGAAAATTATTTGATTGCCCTCTTCAACAAGGATATATTCAACCTGACGATTCCTTTACCTTACTTAAGGCATCGACAGCTATTCACAAAGGACATTCAATGGAATTTATCTTTTTGTTTACTTGATTTCGTATTTGATCAACGAGGACAAATTAGAAAGAGATTTCTAAAAGAAAAGAACAAGCAGATACTAGTGGCAGGGTAAGCAGATATAGCAGAATGAGTATAGAATGAATAAACACACTCTCTATTGATTAGGCTTAAACGAAGATTCATCTTTATGGGATTACTGAACTGTGTTTTAGCACCATTCATATTTATCTATTTATTTCTCTTTTTCTTTTTTAAATATTTTGAGGTAAATTGAATAGTGAATAGCGCATTATAAAAACTCATTTTTATTATTAGGAATATCACAAGGATCCAAGTCGAATTGGGTCAAGAACTTATTCTCCCTTTGCCAAATGGAAGTTTCGAGAGTTTAATGAATTACCTCATCTGTTTGATAAACGAATCAATCAAAGTTACGAATACGCCAACCTGTATGTCAATCAGTTCCCCAAGGAAAAGACGATCCTTTTTGCGAGGTACATGAATATACTTTTTTATTTTCTCCACTCTTATATTTTTTTTTTCTTAGGTTTGCGTCATTTATTGCTGGCTCATTTGCTGGCGTGTTGGCTCTTTTTAGTTTATTTGACTCTGAAGCGCTACTTAATTTTGAAATTACGCCCAACGGTACCGTCTTGTTTTACCTTGGCGTCACAGGTACGATCTTTGCTGTCACACGTGGCATGATTCCGGATGAGAAACAAGTTTTTGACCCGGAAACGACACTGAAGCAAGTGATTGAATATACACACTATTTACCATCTAAATGGAAGCATAAGCTGCACACGGATCAGGTGCGGGCTGATTTCTGTCTTTTGTTTGATTACAAGGTTGGATTGTTCTTACAGGAACTAACAAGTGTGCTCTTTGCACCACTTGTCCTTTGCTTCTCACTTCCTAAAAGTGCCGAACAGATCATCGATTTCTTTAGAGAATTTACGGTTCATGTCAATGGACTTGGTTATGTTTGCAGTTTTGCGCAGTTTGATTTTGAAAAGCATGGCAATCCGAGATATGGGGTCGAAGGCGTGCTCGTAGAGGATGAGTATTATTTAAGCAACGAAGGCAAGATGGAAAAGAGTTTTCTCAATTTTAAGGTATGGTAAATAATTATGGATTATCATTCGTTATCTAATCTTGTATATATATAACAGGCTAATCATCCTCATTGGATACCAAATGATATGGCTGGTTCGCTTTACCTATCAAGACTAGAAAGATTTAAAAATCAGAAGAGACAAAATGACATTACAAAAGATGAACCATCTCCGATAAGATTGAATAAGTATGGTATTCCAAGCAATTTAGGTGATTCATTTGAGCCTAGTACACCTCCTTTCCAGAGTCAACAACATCATGAAGAAGAAGAAGAGGAAGAAGAAGAAGAATCTACCAAGAAGAACGTTGTGGGTCTCTTGAATCAATTCTATGACTTGAACAATCGTCCCTAATAAAATTAGAGTTTGGTTTTCTTCCCACAGTTTAAAACCCACTATGTTTCAACTTCCGATTTAGATGCCTCTGCATGGACCTGTTTGACAGATGAGCTCATTATGGTAAACAATGTATTGCATTGCCTTTTTTTTAGTCTTGATCTTTTGGCTTTATTTATGCTTTTTATTTATATGTTTTGACTCTATGTGACCAGAAATAAAACTATCTTGCAATACAAATAATCAGTTGAAAGGATACTCCGCATAGTATTGACGTAGCAGCTATGTTTGGGTTTAGACCCAGTGTAACCAAGTGGGGCGATCCAATCAAAAAGAAGATTCGTATTCCCGTAACGAATAAAAAGGCCCCCCTCCCTTCCGCATTTTTCTACTTTTTCTTTCCAACAAACAACAGAAAAAAAATGGCCAACGCTCTTGTTACTCCTTCTCTCGCTCATTTCAAGTTGCCTGAAATCCACAATGAACCTATGGTAAGTTGATGATGAACATGCTTAGTTTCTCTTTTTTTTTTACTTATAAACAATAGCTCAACTATGCTCCTGGTTCACCCGAAAGAGCCAAGTTGGAAGCTGCTCTCAAGGAAATGATGGCTCAAGGTCCTGTTGAAATCCCTTTGGTTATCAATGGTGAAAAGATCTATACTGGAAAGACTGCTGATCAATTGAACCCCTCTGATCACAAGAAGGTCGTTGCCAAATATCATCAAGCCGATGCTGTTTATGCTCAAAAGGCCATTGACGGTGCTTTGGCTGCCAAGGCTCAATGGGAAGCTCTTCCTTTCAATGACCGTATTGCTGTCTTCTTGAAGGCCGCTGATTTATTATCTACTAAATACAGGTAAGGACAAACAATGGAGAGAGAAAAATATGCATATCTAAAACGCTGATAGATACAAGGTCATGGCTGCTACTATGCTCGGTCAAGGCAAGAACATCTGGCAAGCTGAAATTGATGCTGCTGCAGAACTTTGTGATTTCTGGCGTTTCAACTGCAAATATGCTGAAGAGATCTACACTCAACAACCTCCCAAGAATGCTCCCGGTAACTGGAACCGTACCGAATTCCGTGCTCTCGAAGGTTTCGTTTTGGCCATTTCTCCTTTCAACTTTACTGCCATCGGTGGTAACTTGCCTTCTGCTCCTGCTTTAATGGGTAACGTTGTTCTCTGGAAGCCTTCTCCTTGTGCCGTTCTCTCCAACTATCTCGTCTACCAAATCTTGGAAGAAGCTGGTCTCCCTGCTGGTGTCATCCAATTCATTCCTGGTGATGCTCAAGAAATCTGTGGTCATGCCATTGCCACTCCTGACTTCTCTTCTCTCCACTTTACTGGCTCTACTCATGTGTTCCGCAAGTTGTGGAAGGATATTGGTAACAACATTGAAAAGTACAAGAGCTATCCTCGTATCGTTGGTGAAACTGGTGGTAAGAACTATCACTTACTCCACCCTGGTCTTGACCAAGCTGGTGTTCGTCACGCTGCCTTGCAAACCATCCGTGCTGCCTTTGAATACCAAGGTCAAAAGTGCTCTGCTTGTTCTCGTGTCTACGTTCCCGCTTCTTTGTTTGCTGACTTCAAAAAGTTCATTGTCGAAGAACATGCCAAGATCACTCAAGGTCCCGTTCACGAATTCCAACACTTTTGCGGTCCTGTCATCAACAAGATTGCCTTTGACAAGATTAAGGGATACATCAACCATGCTGTTGCTGATGACAACTGTGAAGTGATTGCTGGTGGCAAGTGTGATGACTCTGTTGGTTACTTTGTTGAACCTACTGTGATCGTCACCAAGGACAAGTTCACCAAGACAATGAGAGAAGAAATTTTCGGTCCTGTTGTCACCATCTACGTTTATGAAGATGCCGACTTTGAAGGAACCTGCAAGCTCATTGGTGAAACCACCGAATACGGTTTGACCGGTGCCTTGTTTGCCAAGGATCGTACTGCCGTCGTCCAAGGTTCTAACTTGCTTCGTAACACTGCTGGTAACTTTTACATCAATGACAAATGTACTGGTGCTGTTGTCGGTCAACAACCTTTCGGTGGTGGACGTGCTTCTGGTACGAACGATAAGGCTGGTTCTTGGTCTCTCTTGGTTCGTTTCGTCTCTACTCGTTCTATCAAGGAAAACTTTGTTCCCATCGAATCATTTGCTTATCCTTCCAACGCTCTTTAAATTCACTGTAATTTTTTTTTCCCGTGTATATTTTAGAAACATCAATGTAATATAATAAAAAAAAACATGTTTATTGTTTTGAAAGAATATGTCTGTTGGGTGCTAAACATGCTTCTTCTACTCCAGGAACAATCGCTACTTCGATCCCATGTCGTTCTAAAAGAGCAACGCCTTCGCAATTTACCAGATCAGGAGGTTCACGTACACCCATGACCACTCGTTTGATCTTGGCTTCTATAATACGATCCACACAAGGCCGATTACCCGAGAGTCGTTTAGAACAAGGTTCCATTGTTGTGTACATGGTTGCTCCTGTGGGATCTACAGTTGTCTTTGCTAATGCACATTCTTCTGCATGTGTATTTCCTGGTAATTCACGAGAGTATCCTGTGCTAAGTAATTGGCCTTGTTTTACGAGAGCAGCTCCTACACAGTATGCAGCAGGTGCAGGTATTGACTTGTTGGCTTCTTGTATACATGTATTCATAAATTGCAAATCACTCTCGTCATTAGTATATGGAGTTCCATAAATGTCTGTCATCACGATAATAATAAAAAGAAAGAAAAAAGATAACAATTTAAATCTTTTTGAGGGGGAGTTTTATTGTATTCTTCTAAGATATGTTGTATATACAGTAAAATGCATAATTATATGATAATTAATTTGAAGAAGTTTTCTTGGCCTTCTTCAATGCCTTCTTCTTTTCTTTTAATTTGGCAGCTTCTTCAGCCTTTTGTTGAATACCATGCTGCATCTTGTTGTAGAGCTTTCTCTGCTTGTTTGTCATCATCACTGTAGCCATTTCCTTGGCTTCTTCTTCTTCGATTTCGTCGGCCGTACGTTTCTTGGGTTTCTTTTCTTCTTCCTCTACTTCTTCTTCCTCTTCTTCTTCGCTTTCTACACCTGCCTTGGGAACATAATCACCAGCTCTAGCTTCTACGAAGGGAGACAAATGGGCGGGTAATTCAGCACCTGGTTCATACAGGCTGGGCTTGAGGATCTTTCTAGCATTAATACAGTCTGCAACCCACTGAGGCTGTACGTATTTACGAGACAACACTCTGTTGCGGACCGATGGACGATCTGTGATTTGGTAATTGATCGTTTCGTCTGATTCAGCAAAGGGAGGATTCACGCCGACAGAGGGATCCCAACTGACTTGACCACCACAGGATCGAATCATGAATTCAAGTGCATATCGAGGTGTCTCTCTTGACAAGAAAAACTTTTGTCCTTCAAACAAACTTTGAAGTTCTGCAGCTTCGTTGGAGGCAGCTTGAATCTTGGTAAGCATATCGTCCTTTTCATCGTTATCAGCAGCAGATTTGAATTCGTCCAATGTCTCTCCTTCGTCTTCTTCCTCTTCCTCTTGTTCTTTACGAGCATTACCCTTGGGCATGTTCTCATCCAAGTTAAATCCACCTGTTTCGTCAATCTTGGGAGGATAGGTCATGTTGAGCTCAGTGTACAGTCTGAAATTGACGAATCCAACCAAGGTACGATAAAACTCCAAAAAGGTCATCATCACACGGAAATCAACATCAGTAGGAATGTTTTGAGAGAACTGGTAAGGTACGATCCAGGTGATCGTCTGTCCCTTGATCTCTGCTTGATAATAAATACCCTTGATCGAAAAGAATACTTTACGAAGACTCTTGGAACGCATGACGTATCCTTGAAATTCGGCAATCAATTGTCGACAATCAGATACGACATCAGCCTTAATCTTGTCATCTGTGGGCAACATGGCAAATAAGAAGAGCATCGACAGAGCATCATCCAGATCTCGAAGTGCGTCAATGAAGGTGGGGTATCTTTCTTTCACAATGTGATCCAGTGAATAAATCGGCTTGTTGTTTTCTTCTAATGATTTGGCAGCTGCAAATTCTCCCTTGTGAAGTACCTTGTTGAGCTTTTTGGTAAATGCCTTGTGTTCACGGAACTTGGCTAAAAGAGGTTCATGTAAAAGATACTTGATATCCTTGACATAGTAAAAGGTAGCAGGTGCTGTGCTTCCCTTGTTGGCTTTCTTTTTGTTTTTGGGTTCACGAGGATAGATGCCCTTGAGAATACAAAGACGTCTAAAAGAATGATTAATAAAAAAAAATAAAGAGAGAGATCATGATCGATTACCTGAAATCAGCAAGTGAAATTTGAAGTTTATTCAAGGCTTGCTGTCTTGTAATAAAATTAGCAGCATTACCCTTGGTTCCTTTCTTGATGAGTTTTCCCATTTGACAACAATAAAGGAAAAAAAAAAGTATAATTAATCTATGCCTTGCTTTTTTTTTCTTTTTTTTTTCTTTTTTTTTTTCCTATTCTAAAGGCCCGCCTGTGACGATCTTGTGGCTTGGGTGAAGCAAAAACTTTTTATAAAGGCAGCCTTTTCTGTTTTTATTCTTCCTCCCTTTTTCTACGTCAAGGTTAATTTAGGTAAACTACAATTTAATATATACATTGCGTTATATGATAAAGCCTTATGGGAGGTTACTGTCATATAACAAAGCAACCACTTTTATGACTCGCAATGGTGCGATACTCATTAAAGTCTGTATTGCTTATACACATTTAATAGTATGGTCAGAGTTTCCGTCTTGAATGATTGTTTAAACAGCATCAACAATGCTGAAAGACGCGGCAAGCGTCAAGTCTTGGTTCGTCCTTCTTCTAAAGTCATTGTCAAATTCTTGTCTGTTATGCAAAAGCATGGTAAGTTTTTTTTTTTTTTTTTTCACCCGTTGTAAAGTAATTATGCGTTGATATTCTACAACACATAATTTTTATACCAACGGAAGATGTTATGTTTCTTCTCTTTTTAATAAGAAGAGATGCTTTTATCTTTTTCTTTTTTAGTATGAAACAGACATTAATAACTTCATTAGGCTACATTGGCGCTTTCGAAATTGTTGATGATCATCGTAGCGGCAAGATTGTCATCGAATTAAACGGACGCTTGAACAAGTGTGGTGTCATCTCTCCCCGTTTCAACATCAGATTGGTTGATCTCGAAAAGTGGACAGCCAACTTATTGCCTGCTCGTCAATTCGGTTACCTTATCTTGACTACCTCTGCTGGAATCATGGACCACGAAGAAGCTCGTCAGAAGCATGTTGGTGGCAAGATTCTCGGTTTCTTTTATTAAAATAAAAAGCAAAGCATTTATTTTCTTGATACCCACAAATGTCTATATTTTTCTCTTTATACTTGTTTGTTTAAAATGTAAAAGCCTGCAAGAATAAATATACTGCCGATGACTGTAGAAGAAGGTACCATGACCCCAGTGACAAGGACATCGGTGATAGCCACAGCAGGTACTGTAAGCATAACGCCAACAGCAGCAAAGACAGGATTGATCAATGCAATGACCGCCATAAAAGTAGCATTGTATATCACACTCATCAAGGCAATAGCCAGGATGTACCAAAAAGTTGTTGCATCTGGCCATGTAAATTGTTCAATACCCATGACATGTAGTACAGGGATAGGGGCCCACAGGATAAAGAAGGTGACAAGGCCGATGAGACCGGTTATTGTATTGGCAAACAAGATGGTTGGTTCGGAAGGAGAAGCGTATTTCTTGTAAAAGACTTCATAAAAGCCATAAAGTGACGCACCTATACATGACACAAAGATGCCTAACCAACTACGACTATTATCATCATTGTCATCATCTTGAAAGGATTCATCGCTTGACCAGTAAGCCATGATTAACACGCCCAACATACAAAGCATGACCGCAAACACCTTGGAAGTGACAATGCTGTCATGTAGCATAAGGATAGAAAAGAGATATGCGAAGAAGCAACCTGTGTTATAGATCGCTGTCAAGTTGGACATGGACGTCAAGTTGACACTCAAATACCAAATATAGGCTGGTAATGTCAAAAGTACAGATAACCAAAGGCACGTCTTGACCATAAACAGGACCGCTTTATCATTATTTCCTTGTATCCTGTACTGCAATTCTTCCAGTGAATCCCAAAAGGATTGTTTGCTCTTGTGAATCACTTTGTTGATATCTTGTTTCAAGCCTTGTTTCTGTTTCAGTTGAATATATTCTGATATGAGTTGTAAGGGTATCATCAATATGTAGCAGCTGTGACTTATGTACCTTTGTATACAAACATGGATCAGTTAAACTCGCATGTACACCTTTTTTTTACAATATAAAATAAGGCTTTGAGTAACTCGTCGTCTTTTGAACATATTGGGCTAATTCAGTCTGCAAGACAAAAGTGACAATACAAATGGCCAACATGACTGTTGCCAAAACTGTTCTTTGAGCTTTCTTTTCTGTTTCAATATGATATATCTCTTCTTGCTCGTCTTCAACAGGCACAGTTTGATAAGATGACATTAAATATATATAAAAAAAAAGAGAAAGAGAGAGATTTGTATGACCAATCAAGAATTGCTTTTTTAGATATGACCCACACACCTCTTCTTTCTCTTCTTATAGCTCATTTTATTATAACATAATGCATCTTTCAATGTGATATGACGTCGATATACCTCTTTCCAGAAAGTAAATTTTAGTTTTGCTATTTGCACAGCACATCTGCACTACATTTGCACAATTAGTGACGTAAGCAGTTCAATTGCACTAGACAGACCACATCCACACAGTACTATGTACAATGCTGAAGTATAAGAGAAGCATGTGTTGATGAGACTGTAATAATCTCTTTATTATGTTGAAATGAAAGAGAGTTTGTTATTACAAACAACATCATTTTATGAGAAAAAAGGATTATTGCATGAACTCACCACGGCCAATGAGAATTGGGCATGGCGCGTCTATAAAAATAACGCACTTTGTGGCTAGTTCCTCTTTCTTTTTCTTCAAGTACTATTTTACAAGATGGATTGTTTATAAGGTAAATATTATAAATATTTTGTTCCTTCTTGAAAAGAAACACAAACCAAGATGGTAATTTTATAAAATCACGTTTAGCTTGACGCTACACCTTCAAAAGTTTTGCTGGGTAACATCATAGGTAGTATCTGGAGGTAGCTCCAGTCGTATTAATCTAACTTCTGGTACATGTAGTGCTCACCAAAAAGAAAGCGAAATGATAAAAATAACTGAAACGACTTGAAGCTATCACATGCTAATGGTAAGGGCTAAAACTTACAGTATTTGGTACAAGATTCATTTCCAAAAAGCACTCAATCACATACAGGAAAGGCAGCTTTGCAGTGCTCAAAGATGAAATACACGCAGTATCATTTGCTCATGTATTGGCGGCAGTTTTATCTTTGAGACAATTGGTGTATTCGAAATATACAAAGCTTAATATGATCCTGGAGGTTAAATACGCTCATGAACTTCCGTGAAGAAGGAATCAGTACGTTGACCGCAGCAACATCGCCTGCTAGTAGAGAAGTGCGCCGATTGATCCATCCTTCTGGTGATGACAGTCTTCCAGTAGAACCCATTGCTCATCATGATCATGATGAACATATCAACGATTCCACGGAAAGCCCTAACGATGATACCCCTTCCGACGCCACACCTGTCAGCTCATCTTGATCTATATCTTCCCCGTCAGCCCGATTGTCCTTGTCCTTGTTGGCACCTGGCCAAGTTCGATTTTTTGTTGGTCATGCTGACGTCTCGGGTAAGTTTCATCAAATGCAACAATACATCTTTGGGTTAGTAGGTTCAGTCAATTTGGCCTTGGAACCGGATGTGCATCTTATTCTGTAATATACTGAGACAAAGTAGAAAATACGACGAGGCTGTGTATATCTTTATATTTGGAATAAAGTAAAGCGAAAAGGAATGACAGCATAATCAATATTTGTATATTAAGAAGCTGAGTTATTTAAGCTGTGTTGACTACATTTGCTTAAGGTGTAACAGATCATATAACACTAGGTTCAACTCTAAGTGCTGAATAGCAGCGTGGATACTACACTATCACTTTCTTACTTTCCCAAAGTAGTTGAACTAAATATTGCGTATGAGAGCTCAATGTTTCAAGACGAGCCTCCTCCTCGTCAATATATAATCCACTGGTTCTGGCCTATCGTACTTGTCGACGACAGAGCCTTTCCCATTTCATACAAAAATTGAATGCTTATTATCATAAGGTTTTTAGTATAATTGGAGGGAAGAAATAAAAAGAGAGACTAGCACTTGGTGTGCTTTTATGTATTCAAAGATGTCAAAACTTGTACTATAAAAAAACATTCTTGGTAACAAGATATCCGATTTATCAGTGAAGACGAGCTTACTTTCTGGAAAGAGTGTATGTATACATGTTATGATCTTTTAATTAATAGAATACTTACTGTATCATTTTCAGATGATAAATCGGTGATGATATTCATCAGCTTTATTCTACTCCCTGATGGACACTGTTCATCTTTGGTTAATTGTAAAGCAAGTATCAAATAATCTTGAAATCCACAGCTGTCTGTCTTTTAGAGGCTTTGGTGTATGATAAAAGCGGCGTTTTAATGATTTTTAAATGTTTCTCTCTTTTTTTGTCATGTTGAGAGACATTGTAAAACAGTGTGCAGAGAGAGGCACAGTGTATGCATTTAAACCACCCACTCGACCAACACTTCCTACCATCTGTTTTATACCCGGGTTTAAATCAGATTTTGTCACTTCCAAAAAGTCACTTACTGTGTATGACTATGCAGTCAACAGTGGCCTGGGCTTTCTCTCATGGAACCATGCAGATGGCTCAGTGTATGATTGGTATCAAGACAGTGTATCGTTCATTCAAACACATACCAAAGGCCTCTCTTACTTGGTTGGAGCCAGTTGTGGTCTATGGATCAGTCTGTTGGTTGCTAAGCAAATGCCTGTACAAGGGATCTTGGGTATTGGAGGAAGTGTTAATTTTACTGAACGATGGCTAATGAACGAGCTATCAGAAGGACAGAGAGATATGAATTATATATGGAGAAGACCCTCACCCTATGACCCAAAGGGATATTATGACATACCTGTCTCGTTTTTGTTAGAGTCAAAAAGGGCACTAATCACCGATTACAGTGACATTCAGTGCGAAAGAATCATCATGATTCATGGTGTACATGATAGAGATGCTCCCCTTGAATGTGCCAAGCAAATATCCAACCGACTAGGTAAACGAGCGTTACTTTATCAAGTGGATCAAGGCGATCATCGTCTATCAAGTGAAAAGGATCTTTGTTTTTTACGTGAAAAGCTACATGAACTTGTATCAAATGAATAAAAAAGAATGAAAAATCATCTTGTATCTATTGAATTAAGAATGAATATTAATATAAAGAGATTATACATTTTTTTAACTTTAGCTATTTTCTCTAAACATACTAATGACACGGCACTTTAAACTACCTTTGACCCTATTTTTAGATTAATGCATCGGGTCTCAATTAATTAGAAAAGATCTGATAAGAATAAGATCTGATAAAATCATAACAACAAAGAATAGATTTAATGTAATAATATGGAGGAGGTGGGAATGTTATTAGTAATAAAGATGTATAAATATACAATGCAAATAAATTAATAATTAACTAGGTTAACTTTCAGCTTACGAACAAAGCTTAGTTTCTTTTGTCTCCATTCTTCTTCAGAATCCTGTATACGACGTACAACATCTTCTTCACCCAATAAGCTACCATTACCTACTACAAATGATTTTGCAAACGTATACTTCCACAAAACTTGAGCATCCACACCAGCTCCTTCAAGCATATGTTGTAAACGTGACAGACGAGTGTGACATTCGTGTGTGTGTGTATGTACGAAATTTAATAAGGTTTGCGGTAATTCCATTTTCGAGTTATCCTGCTGCCTGATGATGTAATCCAAAACTGGTTCGGATAACGGATCATATTTAAAGCATCCTTCCTTGGCAAGCAACTGATTTAATCTGATAAAACTATGTTCATATATCTGAGTTGTCGGAATAGAGGGTTTTAGACCTGAGAGTACCCAATCCAATGTCACACGGATCCATTTTACGTCTAAATTTGGTGCAGGAGGTATGGGAGAAGTGGCAGCAGGGGAGGTTGGGTAACCATAAAAAGAAGTAGGTAGGGATGCAATCACAGGGGAGATACTAGGCGAAAGGTTGGTCTTGGGCTGTTGATAGGATAAACACAAGATGAATCCTTTGTCTCCTAAGTAACGAGTTGATTTATTTCCTTGACTATTATTCCACGGAGGTAGTTCATAAATTTTTTCTATTGACGAGTTGTATGCGTAATGGTACAGGAACAAGGCTTGATCTTGTGGCTCTAGATGTTCCAAGGGCAACTTTGTGTGGGACGACTCATTCCATAAAGAGAAATGAACCTTTAATAATTTGTGATATGCGAACCTTTTGCCTGTGTTTGCTAATGATACCACCTCGTTTTCCACAGGCATAAATTCAATGACTCGGTTGATTGGGTCGTAGCTATTGGCCATTAATTTTACACAAATATTCCTTCTTTCATCCAACTTCAGGACAACGGTTTGGTTCAATGCCTTAATTTGTTGATAAATGTGATATTCTCCCATCCATTGGAACTTCCTACAGACACTCCTTAGCTGATATACTTCGTCATAAGTTAAAAAGGAGAATATATGAAATAATATTTCTGAGGGAAGCAAGCTTAACATGGTGCATGAAAGGGAAAGAAAGAAAGGGAGAGAAATTGCGGACTTGAGGGTGCATTGATAATTGTGAGAAAAAAACTGTTTATTCTCTCATTGGTCACATTCCCCAGAAGGCGGCCCTGTCAACCAACGCTCAAATACTTTACTACAATCGAACTGTTTCTTGCCTAGTTTTTCATTCACCTTATTATGTCTTCTACATAGCCATTGACTTAAGGTTTCTCTATTCTTAACATTAATTGGGTCTGTCTCTATATCTTTTTGAAAATCATTCTAGATGCATGTTTGTTTAGAAAAAAAGGTACAGGTTAAGAGCTTACCTTGCAGAACCAACAAGGATAATTTTCTGAAAATGTCTTCATAAACATCTTCATACTCTCTTGTTGACTAGGACTTGGTCTCTCTGGGTAATAGGCTGCCATTGTATGCAATAATGTCCATGTATGTCTACCCAATGTTTCTACGTCGGCTGGACAGTTGTTTTGTTTCCATTCTTCAGTAACCTTTTGAGGTTTGTTGTCTATAGGTCTAGCTTCAGCGTTGCTTTTTTCGCTTTCTTGCTCCTTCACATTGCTCGTCTTTTCTGTCTTTGCCTTTGTCTTTTCCAATTTGGACCACGTCTTAAAATCAACACAGACTCGACAGGGCTTACCGTCCTTCATTGGAATCTCTTTTCCTGTTTGTGGGTCGATCTGAACAGATTCCATTTTGATTACTTTCAATTAGTGACAGAAAAGAGGACCCCTCTTCTACTCTTTGCGTAGCTTTCTTTTATGTTTTCAACTCAGTTAACAAAATTAAAAATCAGAAAAAGCAAAGATCGACTTGTTTTATTCTGTACAGGTTTTTTTTTTACACACCGCGTAGTCCCCTTTTCTGTAAAAATAATGTTTATGCTGGAGTAGCCTGCTGCTTAGCTTTCAATTCTTGCAAGACACGATAATTTCTCTCTATGGCTTGTTGAATAAATTCAGCAGCAGTAATCGGATCAGGATAACGGGCACGTCCTTGAATGATTGCAGACTTGTTTGCTTGATTGAAATAAGCGATGGAGTAACGCGGTCCTTGATATTCACCCACTTTTGGAGCACGCACGCGGTGATAGTTGCTTTTGAATCGATCATCGGACCATCTCATCAGCATGTCTCCAATATTACAGACAATCTCGTCTTCTTTTGGAGACACGGGTGTCCAGGAATCACCGTGACCAAACTCAGTCGATACCTCTCGACCAGGACAGACCTCGAGTCCGTCTTCGCCGGAACGTTGAAGGAGTAAAGTCAATGTATCGAAATCGGTATGAGCGCCTGCACGCCAGTACTCTGGAGGAAAGGTTTGGCCGGTGATATCATGATAATGAAGACAACGGAGTGTATTGAGACAGTCAGACTTGGTTATGTCATGGGATCGTGTGAAAAAGTCTTGTTCAAAGCCAAGGCCTAATGCAAGGCAAGTCAAGAGCTTCTTAGACACCTGATCGCACTGTTGCATGAATCGCTCTGCGGTCAAACGAAATGTGGGAGCGTCTTGTTCAGTGGGCCAGAGATCTTCGATACCATGAAATGAAAGCTGAATGGACTCTTTTAAATCTGCTACGCCTGTCGAAGGTCTTATTTGAGCCAACTTTTCCCACCCAGCATTTCGTTTGATGTCCATCGGGTATTTGCTTTTAATGGAATCATCAAGAGCAAAGAAGTCATGGCTTGCTTGGAACATGCCTCGAATATCTTCAAGTGATATACTATGATTTACAACTATCAAGAACAATGTTCATAGGGTCGACCAAGCTTTATTTTTTTCTTGTTTACCATAAAAGAATCCTTGAGTCGTGACAGCTTTCATCAATGTCTTTGTAATTTCGTCTCGTCGATTATCAAAGTCAGAGAGATCAACTTGAATAAAGTCTCTTTTAGAAACTGGTACATTGGCAGACTCAGCAACTTGATTCATTGTATTTGTTATGAATAGCTATAAAATGCAAGAAATACTTGCTATTTATAATCTATTCTCGCACAATAATCACTATCTCTAAATATTTATATATGGACGCAGTGATAACGTTTCTTTATCGGTAGTAGTACAATGTTGTAAAGATACGCTATATATTTTGCTAATCACTATGATATACTATCTTTACATGTGATATATGTGGAATATATACTAATGATTTATCTTTAGGAGACTCACTTATCTTATGGCATGTAAATAACAAGTATATGTTCTCTTTAATGTCACTACTAACGGAAGAGTGTATCTTTACTTTATTATTACAAACTTGTGTGCATAAAGTTTCATGTATTACAACTCGTCGTGTTCCTTGTTACAGATAAACTTGGATTCCCTTTCTTTGATATAATCTAAATGCCCATCTGCAACCATCTTTTGATAATATTTCTCGTTTCGTGCATCAGAGAATGCACACCAAAATGCTTTGTCGCACTCATCTCTCAAGGTACCACCCGTTACTGTTGGTACCTTGTTAATAGGACGATTAGCACCGAGCTTTGCAGATTGAATAATTTGTTCCCTTTTTTTTGGGATATGTTAATATCTTTGTTGAAGCTTTTGTAACTTTTATTCTTACATTCGGATCATAATTTGTTCACGACCACTCTTGTTAATATCAGGAATTGAGGTACCCCAAACGACACGGCCAACCCCTCGATAAATACTTTGTGAGGCACACATTGGGCACTACAATCAAAATGAGTAAGCTGTAAAGACAATAAACGAGAGGATCTACCGGCTCTCCTGTCGTATAGAGTGTCTGATTAGACCAGTTTAATCCCGGGTCGACCATGTCATTATCGGTTGGTGATGGATACAACTCGGTACAACTGCATGATTTGTCAAAACGAGAGTAAAGATGAAAGGCAGCACTATACTTACTTCCAAAAGGCCGCCGTTTCTCCTATTTATATAAACAAATGAGCGTCTAAACGTAAACATTCGATGAATACTGTTTACCGTGGAGTAGCTTATTCTTTTTATTAGAATTGGCGCCATAACAGGATATGTCGTTTTTAGTATGATCAACAATCAATGCACCAAATGGAAATTGAGGGTTATGGATCAAAGCATAATCTAGAGCTATTTTCATATAACACTCATCGACTGCCTTGGAATCGGGCAACTTGCTACATGGGTTAGCATAAACAAGAGTTGGTGTAGTAATATACAATGATAAAGCAACGAGTAAAGAAAATCTCATATTTGATACAAATAAAAAGAAAGTGAAAGGAAGGAAAATGAGCTACTGAATCACATAAATACGGTGTATTTTCGGAAAGCAATGTTGCATTATTCCCAAGAATAGGTGTCGCGTTGTACGAAAATTAAATACCGCCATATCTGCTTATTTGCGTATCCTCTTCAAAACAGATGGCATCCTTAATTCATAAACTCAAGTAAAAAACAGCTGCTCTAAAGTGCTTGCTACAATAAATTATTCTAATTTTTATTGGAAGCAATCCTTTAGACTGTTATCTTTTAGACCCTACGCTCAGATTGTGTGAGACTACTTCATCGTTATACTTGTTTACTTAAACTACCCGTTTATTAAATAATAAGTGGTGTCATCGTCTTGTTTCGCATCACTGAACAGCTTTAGAGCCTTGTATTCACTCTAATTTAAGAATAACAAGTATATGATCAACTACTAAATACTTGGTACTTCCAGTGAGTCAAAAGCAATACTGTGTAGTGTTATACTTACTTCATTGTTTATAAACTTTGCAAAGTCGAGCTGAAAGTTGATGTTTGGAAGTTTTTTTTTTAAAAAAAAGACACGTCAATATCGAACATAGACGAAGCTCTTTTAGCCGCTTCGTTTTTCAAGTCGTAATAATACAGTTTAACAACGTTAAAAAACTGTATACAAGGGTATCTTTTACTTTCATGAACGCCTGATTTCAGTCTTTAGAAATGAGTAACACATACTGTTTCTATACTCATAATTCTACTTTAGAACTTTATTTATCATTTATACAATTGCGCAAAAAACCCAAAACGAGTGGAACCATTGAGTTCTGTACGACAAGCTTGATAATTTCATGTCCTCTCTTGGTCACCACATTAGCCGTTGTCGCTGTAGTAGTTGATGTCGTCATGGCTGACGATCGGTTGCTTTCTATTTTCTTTTTAGGCAACAACAATTTCATCGCTCTACCATGACGCTCATCATAGGAATCGCTGCGTGTGGGTATATCATCAGTAGGTTGATTACTACTGCTGCCATTATGAATAATAGTAGGGCTCGTCATATCTGACCCAGGACTTGCCGTAGCGCTAATGTTGACACTGTGTAACTTGTTACTCTTAGTCCGGGCTGTTCCTTTCTTGACTTCATCTGCCAACAAGACCTCCTTGAGTACTTGCAAAGCTACTCTTGCCTCTGAGCTCATACTCTCCAGCTGCCTCATGTTCTTCTCATTCTTGACATCATTCACACAGCCACTCAGCTTCTTTAGCGCTTCAATCCACTCGATTCGCTCCTCTGCTGTCTCGACACTAAAGGTATATCTGCGATTCACCATGTAGTTTCTCTGTTTTCGCTCTTCATCATCATCCACTTCTTGTTTTACCGCATCGCCGTCCTTTCCATTTCTCTTTTTATCGACTCTGTTGCTACTGTCATTGATTTTCTTTTGTGAATCTGGTCTAGCATCCAGAGCCAACAACTTTTCATCAATATGCTTAAATCCAATCTGAAATGTGTATCGCATAAACGGTCGTTCCACAATCACCGTCTTGGTTCTCGGCAATGTCGGACTCACATAGTTACCTGCATTTTCTCCAGACTTGATAAACATGAGTGAGGTTCTACCGAGGGTATTACCAGTGATGGTAAATGATTGAATACAGGAGTTTGAAAAATCCAAAACGTTGGGTTCAAACACCAGGTCCTGACCACGAAGCTTGATTTGAAGGCCCTTGTCAGGAGCAGGAATCGAGATAATGATCGGATCAGAAGGAACGCCCTTGGTGAGTCGAGAGGGTAGTCGATGGGGTATCACGGTAATGACAACGTCCTGTGACAGCTGTTGTTGCATCGAAGGAGACACTGGCTTGCCATCATCGTCTGGGATGGCTGCTTCGGATGGCTTGACTATTCGACGACCTGTTTTGTTATCCCATCCTGTTTCCAGCCGCTCTTGCTCGATCGACTTGTACATTTCTTCCATAAACTCTCGTGGTACGAGGCGATACTGGTCGTAGTAGTTCCATCTTTCCAGAAAATCATCCAGTGTCGGATGACTTGACCCCTTGGCACGAAGTGACATGATGTAGTGTAGAGGCTCGATCGTTACGCTCTGTCGGTTAGGGCTGGACTCATTCGTGTGGATGAACGTAGATGCATGTCTGCTGGGAAGACCATCGAATTGATGGTTCGCGCGCTGATAATCGAACATACTCATCTTTCGTTTTGCCTGTCGCCCTTGGCGTTCCTTTACCTCACGTGCAAACCAGAAGACGTCCTTTTCAGAGGTTGCATCATACCAAAGCTCGGCATTTAAAAAGAGTGTTGCCATGACGACTTTGACGACCATGTCTTCATGAAACTTGATCACGTTCTGGTTCGCATCGTGCCACTTTTTTGCAAACCTTTCAATGATATATTCCAATGCTTCCCAATTGCTAGGTAAACGAAACGTCGTCAACAGTATCCGCAAGGCTTCATCGAGTCTCAGCCCGACAAGTCTAAAGCACTCGAGAAACGCGTCATACACATCTGCATTTTTTTGATCTGCTAGGTAATAACCCAGCTGTCGACGGTTAAGATCGGGCGTTTTGAACAGGAAATTGGCGATATTGAGAGGATCATTTGTCAAAATTCCCTTGTCGATCAGATACTGAATTCCAAGGTTGGCACTTGTCTCAAACTTGCGTAGGGCTGAGGCCATGATCGGATGTATCTTTCTTGCAGGTGGCAGAATGGGCCTTCCGTCAGGCCCAATCTCTATCGAGGGCGGCTTTGAGTTGGCTGCATAGTAGTCGTCCTTTGCAATATAAAGAGTCAGCTTGGCCAGTTCGACAATGTTTTTCACTTGGAATAAAGAGTTCTCGTTCGGCCTGAATCGGTATCTCTCTTTGTTGCTTTTGACGGCCGTAGATGAACTGTTGCTGTTGCTGACTATAATGTTTTCATCCATGATAGGCTTACAGATGAGCAATAGATCGTTGAATAAAAACAGGTATCGATCCTTTACTGTATTCGCATTCACCACCTGGAATACAGGAGTCTGTAATAGATGCTGGCGAGGAGGAGCAGGTAGCGGTTTAGGCTGGCGTGATAAAGGAGGCATAACAGCCACAGGAGATTCTTCTGACTTTTCTTTTTCATGATGTTTAGGTGGTGTGATCAAAAACCTCTTTATGCGCTCGCTCGTCGGTGACAGAGTCAGTTTTTCTTCCTCAGAATCGTTACGTTCAAGTATGTTATTGTATAGATTCTGATGATAGCTCAACAATTTTGAATCGTTGCTCCTTGAGCCACTATTATCTACGGCAGGTGGAAATGATAATGGTGATCTGGATCTACGCACTCTGTGGTTTAAAGGCAACAGAGTGCTGTTCCTTGGTTTATCGGACAATGAAATAGTGGGGATATGATGATGACCTTCTTCCTCGTCTGAGAGTTCAATATCACTGTCCTCTGCACTCTGCTTTTCTTTATGGTTCGATGACTTTAACTGTTGTAACGAGGGTTTCTTTTTATTATTATTATTATTCGAAGCCAGAAATTCGGGCGAGGATAGCACGGCTTCTTCTTCGTCAATACTGTCGCTTTTTAAATTACCATGCTTTTCCTTCTCGTAGCGATGCCTTAGTGATTTGTAAAGCGGGCCATCCTGATGAAAATGACCTCCTTCAGTAGCTGAAAAGGAAGGTGTAATGAAAGGCGACATGCCGTAATAAGAGTCAAAATCAAATGAACTCGGTGATGAAGAATCGTCAGAAGGTCGAATCCTTTCCCAATTAGAAAATGAACTCGGCACTGCCACTCCTCGATCGATGAGTCGTTGGGTGAATGAAGGCCCACTGCTGCTGCCTAATGAACTCGCAGAGCTCTTTCGTTCTTTATTTGGATTGCCAATGATGGATGAGGGATTAAATGTTCCAGATTTTGCATAAATAGAAAACTCTCTGTTGGAATTAGAAGAGGATCTTGAAGCTGATTCAGAAAATGTTGGTTCATTTTCCATCTTGTTTGTCATTAGTCTAAGTTTTATATAAAGAGAAAAAAATAATGCGATACATTACGAAAGGAAATTCAGACAATTCCTCTTTTTTTTATTGGACAAAGTTATCTTTAATTTCAGATGATTTCTTACTAAATTTGGACGAATATCTAAGTAAAGCGGCTCCACCTCCATAGTTCGTTTTCCAACTTATCAGATTCGCTTTGGTCTTCAGCTAGAATTCGCTTTTCTTACTGCCCAAAGTTCACTTTTTTATTGGCCAAAGTTCGATTTTGTGAATAGCTCAAATTCGCTTTTGCATCATTTAAAATTCGTTTTCAAGGGCTGACTTCCTCTAGTAATTGAAAAATAAGTTAGTCAAGCACAGTGCAAAAATTAAAGTCCTAGTTCAAAACTCTAGAAACTCTTTCTCCGGGTAATATCAGAGGTCCTGCACCTAAGCAAAACGCAAAGGAGAAGAGTATCGGGAACCCTTGCTAAAACCAACCACACTGAGCTGTTTACATATCAATGTATGCCTTATTTACCTTGGGGGTCGAACGATTAAGCTCAACGCAGGCCTCAATAAATAAGAATTATGACAGCAGGGTAAACAGCTTCAGTATTGTGAATGGTGGTAGCTTTGGTTGCAAGCGCATCTTTATGTCCATTTGAACTAGATATACTATAATACTTAGCTTTTTTAAATCTTGTCCTAAAAATTTAAATGACATATTAGTCTCAACTTCTGAACGGCCCATCTCTTCCAAGTCTCGTCTCACCACACAACATAGATAAATTTATTTACTATTATCATTGAAATAAAAAGCATTATCACTCCTGACGTGTCTTTTCCCCCCAAAAATGCCGACGTCACTCTAGAAATTGTTTAAAATCCACTCTTAGATTGGGCTGATAAGTATCAATTCGATTATCGCGATCTCCCTTTCCTCCTTGTTCTCATCTGTTGCATGCATTTTGCAGATCATGGCAAACTTAAAAAAATCCAAGGTCAAAAAATCTAAAAGCGATAAGATACCTCTTCCAGAAGATACTCAATGATGCCTTTCTAACTTGCCCAACTTGACAACAAGAAAGTTCTATGATGCATTTGGCCACGATTACAATTCAGTGCAAAAAATTTCGAGAGGATACAGGAATATTATTAGCAATGAACTGAAAGGCGTCAAAAACATTGTAAATATCAGAAATGAGCACAACATGTGGATGAGGTCGAAGAAGAATACCCATTATTGGCTGGAGAAAATAAGATAGGAGACAGCCTCAATCGCACACATTGAAAGCGCTCAATATGTTCAGGATGTTGTCAGGACAGAAATGAACCAAATAAAAGTCATGGAAAATAGCCAGAATAAAGAAACAGATAGCCAAAGTGAAGAGATCGATAAAGAAACTACTGAAAAACTACTTTATCATGAAGATGATCAAGATGAAATCAATGAAACCGAGGAAGATGAAGGTACCGAAGCAGAGCCTTGGATTCTGGAGAATGGCATTAATGTTACAAACCTGTTCACTGAATATCGTCAACATGTCAAGCAATTTGTTGAATCCGAAGGCTTTATCCCACTTGAGAGCCATGTGCAAGAGTTGGCTGCCTTAAACCACATACTAATTCTAAAACCATTGCAACACAGCAAAATGATGAGAGAAGTTTTCACTGACGAGCATATCAAGCACGCCCTAAATGAACAAGTACGAATGTCAATTGGCCTCTCGCTTGATTTTACCAGTGAGGACTTGATGCGGCTAAACCTCATATTGAAACAGTTGACAAATCACACTCAAAGTATATATAGGATCACTATTGATATTTTGTTATTCTCCAATTCCTTAACTTACGAAAAACGCAGAGTCCTCATAGGCATTGCATTGCTGTAGGTACTATCAATAACACTTATATGTCGATTGATGCTAATGTGGATTTTCTTTCTGTAGAATTTTAAAACTTCCTAGAGACCCAATTGCAGATGTCACTAATATCTCTGAATCAGAGTTATGGAGCATCTATTTTGACCCTCTATTGTCTGCCATTGTTTCTGACAATGAAAGAAACATGCTCTTACGATGGTTAAACAAGCAAGCTGAGGGTAACCTTTTAAGACCCGATGCATCGATTACACTGATTGATCAATTACAATTTGGTGCTCATCTTGGGTTTGGCGAAGTGAAAATTGTTCAGCCTACATGTGACAAAGCAGCCCTTTGTAGCGATTTTTTACGTTTGACCCATCTGACAAAAGAATGCCTAGATAGCCACCTTCTAGATGCTTCGTTTAGCTTTCAGATTTATGGTAAGTACGCTTCATTATGATAGATATACAGAATTTCTTATTTCGACCTACTACAGGCTTCTCTGTTGCTTTTTATATGACTCGATTGAACCACCACAAGATATATACAATGACTGAGCTTGGTAGGATAAAGTTTCCGCGATCTTTAAACGATATATCTGCCTTCTGCTGCCCTCAAAATATGCAATTGCTAATTCAAATTACAAATGCCTTCTGGACCCACTGCAAGCCCAGTCTCTCTCCTTCGACTGCTAAAGAAAGATCAATAAAGTCCGTCAACATTAGCCCTCTACATGAATTTGTGAACCCACACAAAAACCGTAAACGAACTTGCCATGATTTCTTCGGATAGTTGACTTCTATCTTTATACTCTTCGATCTTACACCTCCCTTCAGCTTTTCTCATTTTCTCACACACCCATATATACACTTACATGTCTACTTACACATACACGCTCGCTTTTCATTTTTTCATTTTTACACAATTTATCTTTCCTTTTATCAAAGCTGTAAATAAATAATGAGATCCGGCCGTGAAGTCATTACATCTATGACACTACACACTCATTTATTATTATTATTGGGATTTCATTCTGAAACTGCTATCAGACAGAAATAAGGAGGCGTTGCTCTCTTTTGTAAACAAATAAAGAAGTGAACCGCTTATGTAAGAATAGATTCTAGGTAGAAGAATATGTGATTCAACAAGTCTAGAGCTCTCCTTTTTTGTTTAGGCATTCTATTAAGTCAACGACCTTTCTCAAAATAAAGTGCGAATATATATTGTCCAAGGAGAGAAATGAGTGTATGCAGTGTATACTAAACAGAACAAGAAACATAATCGAAAGCATGTCAAACACAACAAACTTGGATGCTTTTAACCTTGACGAATTTTGATGGTAACAAAAACGAGCTTTGGATAATGCAAATGCGAAAATTGAGTTGCTACCAAAACGAACTATGACCCAGTGAAAAAGTAAGCATTGGTCTTTTAAAAAACGAAGTTTGGTCGGAAACCAAAGTGAATTTAGTTTATTGGAAAGTGAACAATGGTAGTGGAGCCACTGTAAAGCGTCTTGCTGCAAAAACAATGTTACGACAAGAGAACCAATTGTCTGGGATTGGAAACCATCTGAAATTATAAATGACTTTGTCCAAACTTAGTAAGGAAATCGTCTAAAATAAAAAATAACTTTGTCACAAAACCTTCTCCTCTGGTACAATGAACTACCCAGTTCTGAAGACAGAAAGTACATCTTCCAGGAAGATAGTGCGCCTGGTCATACAGGCTCTTATGCCAAGTGGTGGAAGAGTAGCCAGCACATAGCCCGGACCTGAATCCGCTCGAAAACGTTTGGAGCGAGCTGTATCGCTATTTGCGTAAGCAGAAAGCCAGTATTACAAATGTTGAAAGCTTGAAGAAGGCTATTGTTGGTGGTTGGGAAGCTATGCCATTTGAGCTGATGGAAAAGTTAGTGGTCAGCATGGCGAAAAGATACCAGGCAGTTAAGACGCCAATGGCGACGCAACGAAGTACTAGATTGCAATTTTTTTAATTTTCTGAAAATAAACATGTACAATTTGCCATGTTAAAATTATTAGGTCTTCAGTCCATGTCAATTATAAGTAATCAATAGTGAAAAATGAGTGTTTATTTTGTCCTTTTGTTTTTAGAAAATTTTGGACGAAACATTAGTAACCTCGACTGTACATGCCTACAAAATAGTTTATTGTCTCTAATAAAATACAAAAGAAGAAGAGAGAGAAATCTATTAATAATAACCAGATTGGAAATCAATCTTTCGTTGAAAGTCAAAGTCAGTGCCATTAGCATAAAACACCTTAATGAATGAAGCGTCGATGCCAGTGCCACCAAATTCAAGCCAACCGCCAGCAGATACGTTAATATCAGTGTTAGGAAAGTATGCGTATCTTGGTACACCTTCCATCTTGTCTAGTCTCCATACCTACATTAGATTAGTAAGAGCGAATTCAATGCTATCACGCTTATCCTTACACTGAACCAAACTGGATCATTTGGATTATTATTCTTGACGCAATCTGAATTAGTGTAGGCACAACAAGCCTTATCTCCTGGTTTCAATTTTTCAACAACAAACCGTCTATAAGGAAAGTAATAAGTAAAAAAAAAAAAAGATTTACTATTGAGTAACTTACGAAAAGTATGTTCCACCAGCGTTATACGATTAAACAGTCTTTTATTTACAATTAAAGCCTCAAGTGAGCACACGATAATAATATACCTTCTTCGCCCGAGGCAGATCAAAAAAGAAGGAAGAATTGGTAACTAAAAAACCCTTATGAGATCAAGGGTAAAAAAGTTATTGAAGGAATGATGTTGGGGCAAGTGTAAGATACACTAGTGAGGACAACGAGAGAGCCAATCGAGGAGCTTTTGCCCAAGGTGTGGGGGCGGAAAAGGTGGACACTTCTGATGATGTAGGTAGTCAAGTTCATGAAGAGCGCATATAGCTGGCCAACGAATGGTCCATGTGAGAGCGGCTTGAAAGGAGCGTGGTTTCTTCAAAGGTAACATATTCAAGAGGAAGGATAATGGATCTGAAATTGTTCCGGGAATCATAAGTCGGCGGTGCATCTGAAGACAACGAATGGCGTGGGCTTTGGTGAAGGATTGGTAGGGGTGCCGAGGACAGGTTTTGTTGTGGCCGCTGGGAAGCCAACCAAGGCGCCAGCGTATGCATCGACTTCTCTCAGATCTGGTCATAGGTAGCCAAAGGATAGGGTCTAGGGAGATAGTCAGGCGACAGTGCGTAAGAAGAACAGAGGTGTGCGTTGCGCGCTTGTGATTGAGGTTATCTTGACGGAACTTCCTTTGCATCAAGCGTAAAGAGCGGCGATCAAGGGATTCTGGGTTTGGTGCGCATAGTTTCCAAATGGGAGACCTAGAAAGTTTATACCATTGAGAGTGACTTCTAGGTTGGCGGATCAATGGGAGTAGATGGGAAAGTAGTGCATCATCTGGAAGAGTATAGGTGCGTAGAAGGAATTGGGACTGAAGGGAGTAAGCGCGTTCCTGCATGGTTGGTAGGTTTGCCAGATGTAGCATCACTGTTGTGAAGGAATTTCGCAAACCACCGAAGATTCGACGTATGCAAGCGTTCTGAGCGTCGTCCAACTGTTTGCTAAGGAAGGAGGTAACCTTGGTAATGGCTAGCCCGTATTCTAATTGGGCACGAACGATTTGGGAATAGAAACGAGTGGCTAAGAGGGGGGTAAAACCTTTGGGATGAATGCCAATAGCTGAGAGTTGGCTCATAGTTGTAAGGGCTTTGGTCTTGTTGTTAGCAATCAGTTCAATGGCGTCGAGATGGCCACCCGAACGAAAAGGAATTCCGAGATAGGGAAAGGATGATTGCTTTGGGATTGGTTCTCCATAGAGGGTATAGCTTGAAGACGGTTGTGTTGGATCTAATATAACACATTTACTTGGGTTCCATCGGTATCCAAGTTGGTAACTGTGGTCTTCTCAAGACTTGAGGAGAGTGGACATATCAGCCTTAGCGGCTATGAGGACAACATCATCAGCATAGAGGAGACAGTTCATGCGAAGGGCGAGTTCAGTAGGGGAAGTATCTGTGGTTAGTGGTTGTGGGCGCAGAAGGCGAGGTAGCTCGTTAATGTATATAGAATACAAAAACGGAGAAAGAATTGATCCCTGGAGGACACCAGTGGCTGGCGAGAAACGAGTAGATGTTGTATTATTGAGTAGGACTTCTATCTGGACCTCATCAAATAGATTCTGAAGCACGCTAATCAATGCAGCAGGTGCTGTTTGCTCTAGACTTTTCCAAATACAACGACGATCCACAGTATCATATGCCGATTTTATGTCTAAAAAGGCCAGTACTGGGGTTATATGATGAAAGCGACGTAGGATGTTGCATATTTCGGCTAGACAGAGAACTTGGTCTAAGGATCCTCTGGACTCACGGAAACCGCCTTGAGCTATGTCCAGGGGAGGGCTATTAGCTACCAAAAAGCTGTAGATACAGCGCTCTAATATTTTTCTGAAGATGGATGTTAGACTAATTGGTCGATAGTTGCCTGGCTCTGCTGGGTCGCCTTTCTTATAAATCGGTACAACTTGCGCTATTCGCCAGTCTGCAGGTGTATAGGACCAGGTCCAGCATAATTGGAACAAAAATAGCAAGATATCTGCAAGATTAGCCTGTAAAGGAGCGAGCATTTCTTGACGTAAACGATCAGGACCTGGAGCCTTGTTAGATGATAATTGCCTAAGTGCTGCTTGTACATCATCCAATGTAATAGGGCAAGTTTCTCTCGCAAATGGAGTGGAGTCGGATAGGGAGGAGTGGGTCTGCTCTACGCCTTGGAGCAATCGGCCAGAGTAGATTGCCTGTAGGTGGGAGGCCATCACGTTAGCTGCATGTTGTGGGCCTTCTATAGTAGAAAAAGAAGGCTTTAGGTTTCTATTTTTACGAATTTTACATAATTTTGCGATGGCTTTGGTATACTCTCCTTGTTCCATTTTATCACAGAAATCTTTCCATGTGTCTCTTCTTCGTTTTAAGATCATCCGACGTAGCTTCGCTTTAGTTTCTTGATGAAGGAGCCAGTATTTGAGACAGTTCACCCCTTGTGATTTACGCCATTTTCTATAGTAGTGTTCCTTAAGTTCGAAGACCTCTTGCAAATCAGCTGTCCAGAATTGTTGCAGGGGGCTGCACCATTGTCGCGTATTACGGCCGCATACCTCATCCAGAGATTGGTAGATCGCTTGACATAGGTCGTAGTTGAGCTTTTCAATATATGCCGATGCAGAGGCTCTGTTGTCAAAGGAGGGAGCAGTAGTAGGTATAAGATCCTTGGTAAGATGGGAAAAGCGATTATTATATTGAGCTCTTAACTTTTCATCTTTTAACTTGCCCAAGTGCCACAAGATCCTTTTAGGTGGGAGAGGCCTCTGAGGTGGAGCTGATGCTTGAAAAGATAGGGTCATAAACTTGTGATAGGAGTCAAGCGATAGGTCGTCCCGAATTATTAAGTTTGAGTATGGCAGTTCTGTTGTACTAATGAAGTAGTCGATAATACTGCTGCCAGAATAGTTCATAAAAGTGGGTGATCCATATGCTAGTCGTTCATTCCATATTGTCATATTGTGAGAATTGATCCATTCGTATAGTAACTGTCCTCGGTGATTATGTAAAGTGTCTCCAGTAACTTTGCCTATCCGTGCATTGAGATCGCCACAGATGATGGTGGATTCAGTGTTAGGCATATTTAGAGGAAGCAAGTTGAGAATATTGGAAAATTCGGCGTGTGGTAGAGAAGGAGGTAAATATAGACAGTGAACAAGGTATTTTGAAATAGTGAAAGACAAGGCATACTTAGCTAAGATGTCATTCTTGTGAGGGATATGCTGTACTGGGAAGGGATTGGAAGGGTTAACTAGTAGAGCTATACCAAGACTACCTCGATTCATACTCGATTGGATAGGTTGACCATAGGTGTGAAATTGTTGCCATGATATTGGATACTTGTTAGGTGGGAGAAGCCATGATTCAGTAATTAAAAGATCGGAAGAGGATTCAGCTACTTTAAGGAGTGGTGAGATAGCATGTTTAGGTAGACCAGTAGCGTTGAATAATGAAATGCTGATAGTATTCATTATAGCTGTGAGTGGTTATCTTCATTATTCGAGAGGCGCATGACTACGTCGCCATCGACTTCGAAGACATCGGCTGGATGGTTCATTCTGGTAGGAATATTTTCATCGAGAGTGGACTTGTCAATCCATTTTTGGGTGTAGAAATAGCGAGCTACGGCTGCCTTAACTGGAGCACGGATATAGGAAAGGGCTCTTCTGACACGTTCACAATGGAATTTGAGAGCAAGATGGTCGCGTTCTTTAGAGCATTGGTCATATTTAGGGTCCATGAGGATCGATCCATCACAAGGATCAAAGTTGTCTATAATACGCACTTTGAATTTCTGGAGGTGAGATTTCAGTTCGGGAGCATAATCGTTATGGACAAGAAGGGCCACAGTGTTATGAGCAGGGTAGTGGATGTCAAGAATACGACTGTTATTGACCTCTAATTTACGAAGGCGGGTGCGTAATTGCCCGACAGGTACACGGGCTTTAGTGGGAACGAATATATATTGGAAACCTTGGTTCTCAGAGGGTGGCTGCAAGAATCAGGCAGCGATTTCCTGTCGCTGTAAGCGACGTTGTTGACGTTGTTCCAACACTGAAGCTTTGAGAAGACTAAGGCGGGCTGGGTCGCGCCAGGGAGGGAGCGATTGAGAGGAAGAGGGCAGAGGTGGGAATTGAGAACTACTTGAATCAGAAATAGGCTGAGTATCAGTATGTACTTGCTGGTTGCGCAAAACTTGGATTTCTTCCCGAGCTTATTTGAGTTCGGCTTGGGTCTGTTTAAGTTCAGCATACAATTTTTCAATTGTTAGTTGCAGATCTGCAATAGTTACACCTGAAGGCAGAGCATTGATATCGGAGCTTGTGAATTGGGATTCAGAAATTTCCATTGATTCCTGAACGGAGGAATCAGAGGGTAGATCAGTTGCTGTTGAGACCGACTGTAGCATGTTCGCCATGGTATGTGCATTGCAGTACAAGTTACAATTTTTGCACAAGAAACTAGGTTGAGGGGGATCGCCAGCTGTGGTCCCATTGCGGTTGAAGGAGCCGCTTGCTTGGCAATTGGTACAGACGAGCCTGCGACGTTTGGTCTCAAATTGCTTATGCAGATTTTGAATCTGCTCATTTGAAAGAGCAGACACAGTGGGCTTGCGACCTCGTAAACCATGGGTCATTGTTGCTGTCTTATGTAGTTCTGTATAGCTCAATTGTTCATATATGTATATGTCCATCAGCGTTATACAGTATTTCCAAAAATTATTGACACTGATTCCAAGAGTAAAATTCACGTTCGTTAAATTCTATTGTCACGTAAACCATTGGCTGATTTCGCTTGCTGACAAATTGAATGTCGTATATGTAGGAGCCCTGTCGTACAAAATATGAGTATATTA